CCTTCATCAGAAACGCCCTTCACTCATCAATTAGAAAGGTATTCTTCTCCACGACAATGCACGTCCACATGGGGCACGTTTGATGCCACACAAGATTGTGGAGTTGGGTTGGGAAGCTCTCCCCCACTAACCATATTCTTCAGATATGACACCATCAGATTACCATCTTTTTCGTTCGCTGCAACATCATCTTAATGGGAAAACGTATGCAAATGTGGAAGGTGTTAAAGAGGACATCGACATGTTTTTTCTTCAAAGCCAAGTGATTTCTTTAATCACGACACTAACAACCTGATTGTAAGATGAAAAAGCATCATCAATAAGAATGGAGACTATTTTATTTAGTAAATGTTTAGTTTTGATATACAAGTTGTTTGGGTTTTTCATCTAAAAAAGTGACATTAATTTCTTGATGCCCTAATAAAAACATCAACAATGTGAATCAAGTTACTACACAAAACATGTGTATCTGTCTTAGCAATATTAATAAAATAAAAACATCAACAATGTGAATCAAGAAGTTACTACACAAAACATGTGTATCTGTCTTAGCAATATTAATAAAATAAAAACATCAACAATGTGAATCAAGAAGTTACTACACAAAACATGTGTATCTATCTTAACAATATTAATAAAATAAAAACATCAACAATGTGAATTAAGAAGTTACTACACAAAACATGTGTATCTGTCTTAGCAATATTAATAAAATAAAAACATCAACAATGTGAATCAAGAAGTTACTACACAAAACATGTGTATCTGTCTTAATTATTAAACAAATTCATCATTAATAATACACCACAAAGAGGTACTACAGAGGAAATTATTTTCTGTCTTTACAATATTAATAAACTAAAATATACCATCAATGCTGAATCAAAAAATTAATAAAAGAGGAAATGGGTATCTGACCTGTCAGTATCAATAAAGTAAAATTCATCACCAAGGACGACAGACAGACGAAATAACTTGTCTTTGCGAAATTAACAAACTGAAATATATCAACAATACCGAATAACTAAAAAGTACTAGAAAGGAAATGCTTACTTTTTTCCTTTCATTTAGTCGTTTCTTTCTCCCCTCATCCGACATCAACTGAATTTTGACTTTTGACAACTGTTGATTATGGCGAAACTAAAATACATGAAAGATTATTATATGCTGTCCATTACACGCAAAAAAAAAGTAGGAATAGAAAAAAATGTGTGCTAATAATTTTTGTTGACATAAAACTTCCATGTGAGTGAGTATTAGCTTACGGTAATATGTCCAACTAATTATTAATGTTCTGTTGATACTTATTCCTATTCTAATTGGTTTTCATGTAATTTACATAGTAGTTTTTACACATTTTGATTGAATCTAGCAAGATAGTTAGAACTGAAACTGTACAATATGTATTTGTTTGAATGTATCACATCTGATATACAAATAGAAGTATTCTCTTCATTAACTATTATTTTGAACTTAAGTAAATAAACAATCTAATATAGATTTAAAGCAATTACAGATGAAACAGAAAAATTAAGCTACATGTTAACATCAATTTTAAATAGTTCTATAAATCTGCTTACAAAAGTAAGGAAGAAAAAGTAAATTATAGAATTATTTTTATGTCATTAAATTATGACATCCCAATTAACAGGTCACGATTCACTACTACAACCTAAGGACCAGAAGATTAAAATCACAGTTTTGTTCAGATCTGAACATGGAAGCTGAAAATTCCTTGAAAATTTCTAGATATAATAAAATTTTGGATGTTCATAATTATGGCTTATCATTCTAGAGTATATTGATTGCAGGAGAAACATATTCAATGCTTTATATTTTAAGATGCAAGTTTTATTTTAAGTATCAATCTTCAAAATTAGAAACATTTATAAAGAACCGAATTAGAAGCAATGCCTTTAACATAGCAACAGCTCCATTAACAAGGTTACAGTTTATATTCTGTAGTGTGAATTCCACGTGCAGAAGAGTATATATGGACCTAAATTCGTAGCAATGCCAGCAGGATGAGAACAGCTATTATTTCAAACTTTATTAAAGAAAAAGTGAAATTAAATGTCCAACATACAGATTTCTGTTCCTCTTTAATCTTGGATTCTACTTGTTCTTTGGCTTTGTAGAGGTTTTGTCTCAGTTGTGGTGGTACTTTTAAATGTACTTTCTCTTGTTCTGTACTTGATAAGTTGGCAAAGAATCTGGAGTTTAAAAATTGAAATGTATATAATAAAAATGGAGAACAAATTCCTTAATTTCCACTTGGGAAAGATCAATGTTAATTACATATCAAACAGTTATAGTAATCTCTATCTCTCTATGTGTATATATATATATATATATATATATATAT